TATATTTCAATTTCTCGTTTTTTAACCTACATGGTAAGCATTAAACTGCAATAATAATGAAGAATATAATTCAACAAGTGACTTTTTCTCCTTTTCGAGATATCGATCGCCTTCCGTATATGGCACAAACAGATCCATCATGCATTGATTCAATACGTCCACAAGAGTATCAGCCTTACTTTGACTACCTTCCATTCTGCCACGAGTCTCTTCTGACTTTTTATTATGCATATCTAATCCTTTCAGGTCTTCTACAAGATTTAGAGTCGCTATATGTATAGTTGCAAGTGTCCGCAAATATGCAAGAGTTGATAATGATTCGCTCTCTTTAAGAAGATGTTCCAGACAGCTTTGTATCTAGTGGGCAAAAAATACACAATTAAACTTTTGAACAGCTGTCATCATGCAAAATATACCAACATATGATAACGTACTAATTGAGCAAATATTCGCTGCAAGAAAACTTGCATAACACCCATAGGATTAGGAAATACAGCATTGATAATTTCTGCTTCTTGTTTGACAGTTTCTCGGATTTCCTGGTAGAGATTTGCTAGACCTTTGTCTAATGGTGGAGGAGCAATTTCCGGGTTTGCAAGATCGTTCCAACTAAACAAATTACAGGAAAAGTACTGAGTAACGTACGTCTTTTACCTTAAGACATTGATTACAGTAATACCTTTTATTGTCAAAAAACTCGTGCGTTTCGGTGAGATTAACTTTTTGTATGAAAAACGAATGTTGGTTGACGTAAAGTGCGATGCACGAACCACCACCATTAAATTCATGTAAAGTTTTAGCACAATGCTTTATATGAATGAGAGAGTATGTCAACATGCGAATTGCTTAACTCAAAAATTACACCGAAATGTGAAAGTCCGAATCTACACACCTGCATTGTTTTTGCGTCGCCTTTTCTGTATGCTCTATCAAATTGATCTAATAATTCTTTCTCCAACACCTCGCAATATTTTTCGATACGAGTTCTCGCCTATTAAATTAACAAGACTGTCAGTAACTGTCGTTTAAAAATAACAAAGTAAACGCGGTCCGTAAAACAAGCAAAAACGCGCGAATGATTGGTCATGCCAAACTCGAAAGCAATTCGCGCTATCCGATATACATCATCAAACAGCAAATGCGCACTGGGTGTCATATGCGCATGCACTTGCATCATAAAAAAGCATATGCATTATATGAACTTCTTCCGCAACGCTTGGTTTCATACAATCCCTCTTTGCCAACCCAACAATTTTTTTAATACACGTACTGCTTCAGCACCGGGTATATCCAATTCTTTTGCAACTGTATTCAGTCGTCTTGCAATAATCGCTGCCTATTGTGTTTCGT